CCTCCTTTTCACCCTTCCATCTCTCCCTATTTACAAAAACTTTGTATCCATTTTTTCTTTCTTTTCTCATATTTTTTCTTTTCCTTCTGTCCTTTCCTGCACACCCCTCACTTCCCCTTCCCCTTTGAACCTTTGCCTCCTATTGTATATCAAGGCCATACTCTTCAGTGAAATAAGTAGGATACACATGTGTAATAGATAATGAAAACCAACAATTTTAACATCCTGCTTCTAAGTTACTTACCACCATTGACATGGGATAAGCTAGTCATTTCTTATTTATTAAACAAATATATACTAAGCAGCAACTGTATGGCAGGTACTGTGTTAAACTCTGGAGATACAGCTGTGAATACAATAGTTATGGACATTATACCCTCATTTTTTAAAAACCATCCTCAACATGTCTGTGAGATCTCCTACCAAACTTTAAGCTTCCAGGCAAAAAAATTTATGAAACCTCTAGAAATTCAGACTTGAAAGGAGCCAAGGAAATATTTTCTGGTGTTTCCATTTTAGAGATGGAAACTCTGAGGTATAGACTTGTGAGGGCTCTTCTTTAAAGGATTTCCAAACTCCATATGTTCCAGAGGCTCTTTGATCTACTCTATTTCCCAGCAGTTTTGGGGTTCTTCCCTGTTAATCTTGTCTATGGTTTGTAGTCCTTATCAAGGCACTACTACTAGATCAGTACACTAGATCTAGACTTCTAGATTCACCCTTATGAATTTAAGAACAAAATGAAATGTATGAGCAACCTTCCTTGACTGCTACCATAGCAATACCATGGCTGATTCATGCCAAGTGTGACTGATTTGATAACATCCACAAATACTCTGTGGCCTGATTTCTCTCCCATGCCCACTGGGAGGCAGTGATGAGGCTCTGGGAAATTTCCCCTCTTGAATCTGTTCACATTAGTGTCATAGCACCCTATTCTGTCTTACTGATTCAGACTGGGATTGGAGGGTTTTTGAAGAATGTCTGATGATAGGATCCATAGATTGCTTCTGTTCCCTTTCTGCTCTCTGATAGGTCTTCAGAAGGCCTCCGAATCTTCTACATAATAAACATAACTGACTCTTTCCATCATCCTTCATGGTGTTGTTTTTCAGGCTCCTCTATACTTATCTGCTTAGCTCCTTCTGGCTGTGCAGTGTTTTCTTGATCTACCTCTGGAAAGAGGGAGAAGATTGAGGGTCAGAATTGAATGCTACTCTCCTGAATAGTGTAACTATCTTCTAGTCACCTCTCAGTTTTGCTTCTCAATCTATTTCTTTTTTTTTCTAACTTAAAATGACATTAGGTTTCTGGGTAGTCACATTTTATGGCTAAATCATCTTAAACTTATATACTTCAAAAATAAGTGAATAAGATATAAATATTGATTTGGGTCCTAAGCCAAACCTGTGTTGATCTCTGCTATGGAAAATTAGATAATCAGGCCAGCCAAAAAAGGGGAGGAATAAAAAATAAAAGCAAGAATCCAGTAAACTATTCATCCCTCTTGGACATATGTATGGTACAGGGGTTGAGGTTGAAATTTAGGGTTCTCTGACTACTTTCAATTCTTTCTTGTATCCCATACCTTATTTCCTTGATAAAGCCAGTTTCTAAATATTATTTATAATACTTTCAGCATGTTATATGTCTTAAACATTAGGGCTGGAGGAGATTTTGAGAAGACATTGGATTCTTCCTCTTTACTGATAATATTGTACTCAGGAAACCTTATAGCTATATTTTCTTTTCTTTATACTCTCTGACAAAGACTTTTTCTCACTTTTACCCATGAAGACAATTAAAAAAAGGATTAGAGGAAGTTTAAGAATAGAAATAAAATCCACCAAATACAACAGAATTTTTTGTGCTTTGCGTTATTATATTTCCTTCAAATCTGGTCATAAGTATGTATGTGTGTGCATTTAAAGAGTTGTAATCATGGTAATATGTTGTTTATGTTCTAATTTTTAATATTCTATCATAAACCCTCATCCATGTTTCTATACATGTGTTATATCCATTTTAATAACTATATAGTATTCCATCAAGCTAAATGTAACAGAATACATTTATAATCTCGTATTAGCTTTAAAGAACAGTTATTTATAAAACACTCTAGGGCAGTGTTGATGAACCCTCTGTGTCAGCATGTGAGCCAAGTCACCCCAGCAGCCAAGCATTGAATATTTAGGTTCAACTGCAATGTTGGCACTGTGATAAATAAGTGGGATTTGGGTTGCAGTTTGGGCACTTGATCTCTAAAGGGTTCATCATCACTGCTCTAGAGTCTCACCATCCTGTGGGCAGTCACAGTCTTCTTAGTATATAGCTTAAGCACAATATGTATAATCTAGTAGAAAGAAAATAATGTTCTTTTTTTTCTGGTACCAGGAATTGAACTCAGGACCTTGTGCTTGCCAGGCAGGTGTGGCGCCACTGAGCTACATTCCTGGCCCAGAAAATAATGTTCTTGATAATGGAATGAATAGCTTATTTAGGAAATTAGGACCTGCTCTGACATCTCACTTTATTCTCTTTCCCAAAGACCATTTTTTTCCTTTTAAATTTCTGTTATATTCCATACTGATGTTGAACTGTAGCATCTTTGCTGCATTTAGGGGGTTTATGTTATTTGTTTTCTTCCCAAAATATTTCAAATGGATCAAGTAGACAAAATTATTAAGCATTTTATGAAATGACTTCTGAGGGGATGAATAAGCTGTCCAGGCTGGACTTTTCTGTTTCTCAGTTTGATAGCTCACAAGTACGTACTGCTTACCCAGAAGTAACATGCTAAGTGTAACATTATTTCCAATTTTTCCTCCTCCCTGTACTCCTGGGCCTATCTTGGGGAGAAAAAGTGGGAGCAGGAGTGAGGAAGCCTCTGCCTCCCTGCTTAATGTTGTGATGGTATGCTCACTGCTCTCCCTGCTAGATTTTCTTTACCTTTTTTTTTTTTTTTTTGGTACTGGGGATCAAACTTGGGACCTTGCACTTGAGAGGGAGGCACTGGAACCACTGAGCTAAATCCCTGGGCCATTT